TTCTTTCTTTTTTTTCTATCCAACTTCTGACACCAATTTGTTACGTCTCTGTTTGTTAATTAACTTTCTGTAACTTCGTTCTGACGAAACTTTAGCGACACAAGTCCTTACTTAATAAAACTGGTTTATTCTTTCCGAATATAACTTTACGATACACTTAATTTCAACAATCGCGCTAAAACAAATGCTATAACAACGAACGTGCTCAATAATACTCTCTGACTGCAGATCAATTACTCACTGTCTACACACACATTATTCCCCGTCACGTTGTCACCCTCTTTTATATACCAGACTACCCTATATCTAGTAAATGCTAGAGCATTCGCCAAGGTACAGGATAGTTCTAGAAACGTGGCGTGACACTAGTCATGTGACCTCGCTGATGCAACAGTATTCTTATTGACCAGTGAAAACTTTGACACAGTCACCTGGATAACTTATAGATACAGTCACTGAATCATATTTTCTCTTTTCGAGTACTACTGAAAAAAATTCAACTAAGTTTCAACAGCAACAAAGTAATATAATATACTGCGTGTGTGTGTGGCTTTTCAGTTGTTTGAACAAGATTTTGTCTGTTCATTTGTTCTAAACTCTTCCTATTATTTTTGCTGTGATGCCACACGTTAACCCTCATGTTATCATATAGCTAAGTTAAATAAAAGCTGATGTCTCTTTTTGTTAAGCTTCCGATTTCAAGATAATTTTAACATTCTCGGGTAAAAACTTGTCTAACGTGTTTTTTTTTGGGGGGGGGTGAAATTTCTTTGTATTCGTAATGCCGAAATAAGTATCACATTATCGACAATGCACAATAAAAATGTTTTATTCCAATAGTATTTGAAATTCTGATTGTTCCTTTCTAAAAGGAGCAGTTTAGTTGGCGAAATGCTCTCATCCAAATATTTACAGCAGGGAGAGGGCATTTTAACCTCGTCGTTTGTAGGGTATTATTTTGAAATACAGCGTTGTTCACAAAGAAAGTTTACTAATAAGTAAGCTAGTTCATTAACGCCGATGGTTACCGTGCCGAACAATGGAGATGAGGTTCTGTGGTTCGTGTCCCATTTCCACACACCCCAAAAAATCACGCTCCATATTATGGGTGCATTAGAAGAGCAACAGTGAAATCTCACTATTCGATCTAACAAGTGTAGCCCAAAAGTTGACAGTGATAGGTGTTGACTAGCTGTTTAGTCTATCACTTCAAAATTAGGAACAGCCAGAGCAGTTGATGTAGCTATAAGTGAAATTCAACGACCAACGAAAAAAATATTTTTTCGTAATTCTTACCCTGTACCGTTATAACAGCAATGCAGCAATAAAGAGTAGACTAGTGATGATGACGTCTTTTACATTCTCATCGACATCACGCTATTTTTAAGATAAGACAAAAAAGGTTTGCATTACAGATTAACAAGCAAGAGTAAATCAACTGTTATAGTTGTTTGACAGATCTCCTGAGGGTCATTCCAATACAAAGAATTTTGGATCAAATACAGAAAACTAAAATATCTGAAAGATAGTTTTTTGTAACACATTACGAGTATTTTTACACATTTCAGTAAATTTGTACAAAAATAAATTCTTTATATTTAATTGCGCCATTCACTAAGACTCTGCAAAAGAAATTGACTTAAGTCGTTAAGGTTTTAAATACTCTATTATGAGGTTGACTTTAATTTTTTTTAACTGCAATACATTTACACGTAACAAATCATTGAGAAACGATGCTGTAGTGTTGCGGATAGATTAACAGATTAAACTACTTAAGTTCAAATACCTTTTTCATCAGATTTAAATTTTTTATTAGCAGGTTTTCAAGTTAAGTAGGAAAAAAAAGCTAACTAATGAAGGTTATAAATAAAAAACCAATTGTTTAACAACCGACAAATGCGTTTAAATCCTGGTCAGTATGTGCCTTTTAATAGAATGGGTAAACTTCAATATTGCTCTGTTTCTATTGCGGTTACTCTCATACTTTATTTACTTCGATAAGTAATTATCACATAACTTTATGTTCTTTCTGACTTACTCCTCGTAAGCCGTTTGGCTAAGTAAGAGGAATATTAGAAAAAAAAAACCCTAAGACTTTCTTTTGCAAAAGCTGAATACAAGTAAACTGTCGATGAATGGTTGTGTTAATATGTCAATGTCCATCCTAACCTTATGGCACATGTAGCATGTATTTATCTAACATTCAATCCAATTATAGGTTGGTGGCTATAAGTGGTTTGTGAAGAACGTGCTGTGGTCAAGATCGTAACGTACGTAGTCCTCATCTAGTAAAATATAAGGTAACGCTCATGTTTTTGGTTTTGTTTTTCAAGCATCAGTCTGCGTGGACAACATTTCTATACAATTAATGGTCTTTAAGCAGCTGTACGCAAGTGGATTCGCAGCATCACAGCAGAATTTTACTAAACTTACATGGTGAAGCTCTCGCTCGAGACGAAGGAAGAAATAACCGTACTTAAAGGGGAATATGTTGCTTACATTTCAACACAGTTAGAGTAGTTTGTTGTTTGGCCTAAACAAACTAAACGTCAATTTATTTCCCAACCCTTGTTAACTGGGCCATAAATGTCAGGTTATTTGCTAGATTTCACAATGCACGATTTAAAACACGTGAACAGCTAAGTACGAGTCACACAGTAATCGACATGGACGTTGAAATACATTTCGGAACACATATGGAAAGTGGGAGGTATTTAAAAGAAATGTTAGTCTAACTATCTGATAAGCAAAATAAGTTAGTTACATTTGTTAGTCTTAAGTTTACCAATGATAACATCTTATGGGACAGTGGGAAAGAACAAGAAGAATTATAAAGCACTTTAAGCAAAATAACTTAGTTACATTTGTTAGTCTTAAGTTTACCAATGATAACATCTTATGGTACAGTGGGAAAGAACAAGAAGAATTATAAAGCACTTTAAGCAATATAACTTACTTACATTTGTTAGTCTTAAGTTTACCAATGATAACATCTTATGGTACAGTGGGAAAGAACAAGAAGAATTATAAAGCACTTTAAGCAAAATAACTTAGTTACATTTGTTAGTCTTAAGTTTACCAATGATAACATCTTATGGTACAGTGGGAAAGAACAAGAAGAATTATAAAGCACTTTAAGCAAAATAACTTAGTTACATTTGTTAGTCTTAAGTTTACCAATGATAACATCTTATGGTACAGTGGGAAAGAACAAGAAGAATTATAAACCACTTTAAGAATTATCTTCTAATTGAAATAAATTTTTCTTCTTTTTGGAAGTTTAATTGTGAACGACAAAAACCTTTATCCCACTCAATACATACCTCATTTATAAGGTGTTGGCTTAACTGTGCAGCACCTAATACCTTATTGTATCGTAAACTGAGTTTCTTCTATAAAATTCTCAGGTTTTCTATCATTTAAACATGATTTAATTTTTTCATACTTCTAAGGCGAAAGAAAGATCACGTTCATCCAAGGATTCGTACTTTTTTAATGTTCAAATGGAATCTACCTTATAAAGATCTGTCGATATGCTAAACAGGATTAAAGTCATTATACTATCTGATAGTAAACTATTACAATGGTACTCTTATATAGTAATAGCTGGGGATAAGCGTAACGTCTTCCTTGTAAGACTCCTTAATAAGTTGGCTTGGTTTACATTAGCATTACTCCTGCGCAAACACTCGTGAATTTGTTATATGGTGAATTGTTAAAAGGAAGCCAAGTGTCGTTTTTTGAAAGAAGAATCATATTCACATTACGCATGCGTAAAAACTCGCGAATTGTTATACGATGAGAATGTTCAATAACCCTTTTTCGGATACACGTTGTGGTAAAGTTAATGCCGCCTTTTGAACACATTAAAGGACAAGTACATTTATAAACAATTAATAATGCTTGTGAGGAAAGGAAGGTACTAAGGAGTTTCTCGAAACGCGGACGTAATGTACAGCTATTGATATGCAATACTTTACTGATACAAAAAATAATAAAAATAATTCTTTAAAATATGTGATAGTATATCGAAAAACTCTTTTTAAAGCTATTGGCAAATTAAGTGATTACGAAGTTTTATAAAGCGCAATATTTTGTTTCCACGTGCATTCATTTAATTAGAGCGCCATCTTACTAGTCCGGCCCAAAATGTAAAAAGGATATGTTGAGTTTAGCTTGAAGGTTATATAGATTGTCAGTAAAATTTTCGCACTGAGCATTGAACTGTCAGTTTAGTACTATGATCATAAGGTGTAAGTTGTAAACATACATAAACAGAAAGCTACAATAAATGTAACTAAAAACACTCGTCAATAAGCTAAGCATACAGTATCGCGCTAATTAAACGTGTTCATAAAATAATTGTACATCTGAATTTCGTTATACAACACGTGGTTTCTTTGATGAAAAACCAGTAACTATAGGTCATCATCTGAAAGGGACTGTGACATATCTTATAAGAGAGTGTGGAAATATACATGCTGCTTGTAAGAAACACTAAAACACTTAAATTACACCTCTTCATTTCCTAGGTCTACATAATAAGATGTTGCACCATAAAACTCACTATTACATTGTGCAGAACATTGTGGAGTATATTAGACACAAGTTAAATTTTAATAACGGATCGAAATACCTAGTTGTATTAGCTGAATATCACTGCAAAAGATTGAGTATTACAGAAAAAGTAAATTTCTATCAATGGCCAACAACATGACTTCACAGTTCAATTAGTACTTCTATGAAGATAAGATGTTATTGGTTATAGAAGTGGAAGTTAGAAGACAGCTACATCACGATACGACTTTCTCACGATAAATAAATAAAGTAGAAGCAAAATTGAAACAGTAAAAGGCATGCTCACATGTCTCTCCACTCTTTCTTGAATTTTGTTCATTAAAGCACGTCTGTGTTTCGTTCCTCACAATTTGTTATACAACGCGTCTTTGTGGAAAAGACCGTGGAAAGTCAATAGCATTTAGCAATGTTACGGCCACTGAAAAGCATTTAGAATAAAACGGTTTCTTCTTTTCTTCACTTTATATTACTTTTAGCCGGTGTCATAATTTCATTTACCTAATAACAAATAGAATCCGTATCATTAACGACGATAAAAGTCTGGTTTACTCCAGCTAGATTTCCAACGTGATTATTCATAATCAAGTCTGAACAGTTAGGTAAAATTTAAAAGCGTTTAAACTGTGAGCTATTGGATTATCAGTTTCCACATTTTAAAGTAATTCACAAAATGTCACTGGTCTTATCTGAGCGACGGGAAAACACCATACTTAACTAAGCAATAATAAGCCATTCTTATGCTCTTCAGTCAACTCGTATGACAACCAAGATAAAAATTGTTTTATATTTCGGTACTATATTGTGCGAGAAGCAAAATATATCCAAAATATGTCAATAAATTGAAATTAGACAAAATACTGATCTTTGCTTTCTGCGTCTTTTCCTTTTTGAGGCAGGGGAAGCGTGGCTGCTTTGTCGATTGAGTTTTCTCTAGGTTTCCAGACCGGCGACCCTGCAGGTTCAGAGGGAGGAGGTTGGTAGCTTGTTGGAGGATTACTAGAAATGATAAGTTTAGCTGAAGAACTACCAGTGCTGGAATTGGAAAGTGTAGAAGCAGTACTAAGGCTTAGTCCTTTCGTAGTTCCAAGATTAGTTTTTCCATTTCCAGAGCTACCCTGAGACCGTTCAGACTTATCTGATTTATCTGACCTATCGGATGCGGGCACTGGGGACTGTCCTCTTGACTCGGACAGATTCTTGGGGGCGCTGCCACCACTGGCAGTTACATCTGCCATTCCGTCCGCCACTGTTTTACTTCTTGTACGGAAGTTCTGATCCACACTATCGTAGATCTGGAACTCGTTGTTTACTACTCCCGCAGAGTGGCGCTGGTGTGTTTTCCCACTTTTTTTGCTGCTGAGCGTTCGGCTCATATTTTGCAGTTCGGGGGGTTTTCGAGGAACAGCGGGTTTCTCCCGTGTTCCTTGTTTATTAACTGGTACTGTCATGTTCCTAACACTTTCTCTTATTATTTGTCGGATTGTTCGAAGGAATGCATTTCGGAAATCACTTGTGCTGAAACAAACAAAGATCAAAAAACGTAAAGAAAAGAGAGGCCTGTTACGTTGAAAACACAGCATTCAGGTTTACAATCATTATAATTTCAGTTACTCCGGAAGGTAAAATCATGCAAGATACCAATCTATATTCTTGTTGGATAAACATGCTTTTTTTTTTCGTCATTTCTAATGTACGGCAAAGAAGACCCCGTTTTTAATAGCCATTATAGAATTTTACCCAAACCATTACACTATACTGCAGTATTATCTATAAAAATATTTTATGACGAGGCCTTAATGGTTATTTGATAACGAAGAGAGCGCTGTCTAGTTTTACATCAATATAATGAAAGGCTGTAAGACTGCAGTGAGCACCATTACTTTTGTTTCCAGCTTTTCGTGCTTTAATTACTTTCATATGTTTAAAAGTATATACTATCTAATTTTAATAATAATGAAAATCTTCTTTCAAAGTGACGATTCTACCTCAATATAAAACTTGCATAACATTAACAACGGACTTTAATTCACGAACCTTGTAGGTTAGGTTCTACCTTAACTAGGCCTAAACAATTAATTTTTATCGTACACCAAAGTAAACCCTCTTGATGGAAACGACTGACGTTTTTAGTTGTACTAATCCCTAACAATAAAATATCATATGAAATTATAACGTTACATTTCTTTACCTGTTTGATAGCTGATATATTTTCTCGGAACGCCTCTGTATCTGAGATTTTAAGTGAATGAGCTCCCACAAAAAATGAGAATCGCCATCTTTAAACCCACTGGCTCGCACTTGGACTTCCGTGACCGGAATCAGCACTTGGTATCGAATAATCTCGACCTCAGAGGCACTGGCTTTGCTAGAGCTACCCTGTGAGAAATGAAAATTAATAGTTGGATGATGTTAATAACACGTTTTATCTAAGTGAATCTTTATGAAATAGATTATAATTTTATTTTCAATAAAAGAAGTTTATTTTGTGACTACTTTTAAAAGACAGAAAGAGAAGAGACTAAAAGTGTGCCAAATATTATGAGATATTTGGTTTAACCAAAAAATAATTTAGTGTAAGTCGCACGTTTCCTCATGCTGATTACAGAAAAGTTGCGTGTTAACTTCGCGTGATGTTTTTTGTTGTTGTTGTTGTTGCAAACGCAAAGCTAAACAATGGGCTACCAGCACCGTAACCACCGCATAGATCGAGCTCTGAATTTTAGTGTTATGAGCTTACCGTTGAGGGGCAAGTCGTGTGATATATGTTGAGTTATAAATAATGCAGTAAGTAGTTTAACTATAGCTCGTTTAACTATAGTTAATATTATATATGTACACTTATTTTACTTTGCAAGTTATCACTCCTTAATTAAAAACATTCGTTAAATATGAAACTGTCAAGAATTTCGAATTTTCATCTCCAAGTTATTATTGTTTATTATATAAATTTATAAGAATTTGTTTCACTACTGATACCAGTCTCACAATTTTCACAAAGTAATTTCGATGATTATATAGTCCTGTTATGTGTAAACCGAACGCTACACGTTTCTATTTTCGTACAATGAGAACACGTTACGTAATTCACACCACACATAATACACAACAACGATGGAAATTCTGGTAGCATAATTTGGAATAATGCCCCATCTGCGGATTCACTCTTATTCTAGGATCTAGGTAATGGCCGAGTTTTCCCATTTCGTACATTAGGAGGAATTTTACATAGGTGGATGAAAACTCGTGATAAAGAATTCGATTTCCAGTTCGTATTTTTTCAAAGATCTTTTCGAAGCCAACAATATGTTTGTGAAATCGATACTTTAAATTTTGTTTTGAAATTGCAATTTCTTGTGCTTCTTGCATAGCGAAAAAACAGATTAAGACAAAGAGAGAAACGTGTTAAATGCTTCATAACAGAAATGAGAGGATGACAGCTGATCCTCAATGTCGGTATATTAGCATATATCAAAGATGCAGTTTAATGTGAAGTACAGGCTAGCAAGGCGGTTCACTCAGTTTCCGAGAACGATAACTTCTTTTTTCTACGAAGTTACGGCAAATTGCATCATTTAACCATAATATTATGACTGTCGTTAGAAATTTTTGGTGGTTTTTAAGCACACCTTACGGGTCATCTAATCGTTATTCAATCCAAGTTCTTAAAATTTGAACATTACAAAGTTATAATAACACAGGGTTACAATGAAACATACGATTTCACCAAACATTGTACCCTTACATATGTAAATATAAAAGTTGAAAGATCTTATACTGTTGGTGAAGGTTGAAATAATATGCGTTAGTGAAAAAAGTAGTTGAGAAAACTGTGTTAAAACCGTACATACGATAAAATAATTTATTACAAAGTTTCGAGCAAACGCTCTTCCACAGGAAGTTTCACTGTTTTAAAGGACAGAATATTCGAAAAGTATAAATGATACAATGAATCAGTGTGCGATTAACTGATAAAGGTGTCTTAATCTAGTTTTAACTTGATTATCGAACGTATAGGTTATCGGTATACAAGTGTGCAGTTATATGTATTCTAGTTTTTTCCTTGATTATATACTTTTGATTTATATTAAATTAATGTTTAAGGATGTAATATTATTACTCATATGGTAACACGTAATGATGATAAAAGAACTGCGTGGGCGAGGAAAACATAGAAGAAACAAACACCTCGTTTTCATATATGGTGTTTTTTAGTTGTTTTTATTTACTACTAAAGCGACCCTATACTTACATATGATTTGAAGAATATGTAACATTGATCTCACTAATATATTCAACTCAAGTTCAGCATTTTAAACGTCTTGTTTGTTTGTTGTCTACAGTTGATTTTCTAACAAGTGATTGTTTGAACTGTTGTACGATTCAATTAAAATCTCGGCTCCTGACGATGCTAAGGAAACCTAGCGAAACGTGGCGTTTTTAACACAGAGATTTTACTTGTTTAATAATGGCTGGAGACGGCATGAATGGGTAATGAAGAAAAACTTTAATATAAGTACCTGATGATGACAAAACCTTGTCGAAACGTTGTACATTTGC